TAGCAGTGCAAAAAAATTCAAATCAACCCTCCAGCCACCCCAACACCGCCGAATTTTTTTTTTTTTTTTTTTTTTTTTTTTTTTTTTTTTTTTTTTTTTTTTTTTTTTTTTTTTTTTTTTTTTTACGAAGATGTTGTGCCTTTATGGTTCACGTTATGTTACTATTATAAATGTTAAGGCCAGACATTTATGAACATTTTCTGAGTAGTTAGGGTGCCTACGTACCTTAACGAGGAATAGTCTCATCTTGATTGCTCAACAGCTCTATTTCACGTCGGTCTATGCCCACAAAGATTTACTCTTATGCGGTACCACGTGGAAAATCAAGTAAGGCTATACCGCTCGGGAACGGCTTGCTAAAGTACTCTGAGACAAGTAGACTGGTAGACGTACACACACGTGTATTCAAATACCCCTATGGTGACGCATTTCTGTCAAAGATATGTGGCTAGCTCAGGCACAGTATTTTAGCGGCACATTATCCTTAATTATCTGAGAACACACTATCATTTTATGTACATACTGTGTGCTTTGTGTCAACTGCAGGTAGCATGTAATTTGTTTTGTTCTTGATTTACAATATGACAGAACTGAGTGAATTACATGATACTAGAGAAAAAATATCCTCAAGCATTCACACAGTGTGCCGCGCACACTGCTCGGATAGTTAAGTATAATGTTGGCGTCAGTTAGTTTACATTCATCGCTTCTTATTCAATGACGCCAAGGAAGTTTTCTGTAACATAACGTGTTGCCCTTAAGCCCAAATATTTGCATAATAAAAATAATTATTTTATCATGTTTTATATTTTTTCAGTACTTCAACAATATCAGACTGGGTATCTGAAATACTTCCTGCTGGACGTTTACAGGCTTTATATCAACAATAACTACTTTTGTAATTATGGTATAGTGTCTGTGATCGTTCTTATAAGAGTGGTCGTTAATAGCTATCAATTATCTGCGGTCAAGGTTTATTTATATTTAGCTGTATATCTCTAATCATTGTTCACGTAGTAATTCTCTTATCAATTGGTCTATTAAGGTCAACGCATTGAGGTTTTATTAGTTAATTGGCTTTGGTCTGCTGTGTCGGTACTTACTTAGATCATACGCTTGATGTGTATTTTATTATGTTTGAAACATGTTATATAAATGGTCATTTAATAAAAATTACAGCGTCTTCTTAATTGTTAAAGATGTCCATAAAAACTCCAGCGAAAAAACCACCACATCATGACAAAAAGATGTATAGGTTAGATAATACTTGGTAATGATCACATAATTGTCTGACCAATTTTAACGAAGATATACACACCTTCGAGATACTATATACAGGAATAGGTTCCAGAAGGGTTAATACTGGCTCAAAATTCCATGACATTTAAACTTAAACTTAAGTTAAGTAATTTTCATAACGTTCGAGGAAAGAATGTATAAAATATTTGGAATGTACAACAAGAACAAGCTCAGATTCATAACATTAGCAATGATGTCATTGATTGTGGTCAATGTTTTTCAGGAGGATATAGACCTTACAAATATGATAGGAACAAAAAATACTCATCATAGGTACCAGGATTAAATTGATTACACCAGACGCGTTGCGCTCGAATCGAAAAAGTTAAAAAGGCCAAAAAGTTCGAAGTTGAACAGTTAATTTAAAATCATGATCATATCAATGATAATTCATGTCAACATATACCAGGCTCATAATTTTGTACGAAAGACGGCGAAAAGAAACAAAAGGCTACAACCACCACATAGAACACTAAAAACTAATGTGTGTGTGTGTGTGTTACGCGCGATCAAACTGAAGTGAATTAACTCCATTGATACACCATATAATATCATAGAAAGAAAGAATGGTCCGCCAAACAATTGATGATAGGCAAAAGATAGAGCTATGCTATCTTTACTGAAAGTTAAAGGCTTCAATGTGGGTAAGAAGATTATCAGTACTGTTTCGCACTGCATGGTGTCACTTAATTCAAACAGCCAAAAAAGTCAATTCCAACAAAATATTTGAATAAAACAGAATGAAGCCGCTGACAGAAATGTGTGTGAAACTTCGTCTGGCGTCGCAATAAAATTACACATTATTGTTCCATCTTGTTGTATCTTTAACTATCCTTGTTTATCCACTAATTAATCTCTTCTCTTTTGTCAGAAACATCATCAGCATGGCATTGAATTTAAGAAGTGTTGAAATGCAAATAATGTTCAGCTAACACTGGAATTTACTTAAAACTACGATTGATCTAAATTATTGAAGCTCATACAGCTCATATTTTAAATACGGTTCAAATACTTTAATCTTGTTTCTACAAAAGCAGAAAATTAATTCAAAATGTTTACCAAGGCTACATTCAGTTTCCCTATGCATATAAAGTCATTACAGATCTAGAAAGTGTTGTTTTTTATTCTTTATTTTAATTCTCAGTTCTTAATATATTAGTTTGAAGAAAAACATGTGTCTTTGATTCTTTCAACCTAAGAAGGACATATACCTTGCCAATGATTTTTAATTTCTTAAACATTTCGTAATCAAAATTGTTTATTCGTGTACGTCGACAGCGATTTTTGTTGGTTTTTCTTTGATGTATGTATAAGTTTGCAGAACAAGAAATCAATTTTCGCTTGGTTTTCATACACCTAATGACTGCTTTGCGATTTATTAAGTATATATCCATTATTTACTTCATTTACATATTGTATATGACACATTTTGTTTTAGCCTGGTCTAAGGAAAATAGTTTAGATTTAAACAACACAAGTTTAAACATTAATGCAATTGCTTTAGATTTATCATATGACTGAAAACATTAAAAACATTTGGAAGCCAGAATTTATTTAGCTTAAGTGGAATGAAAATTGTATTTTTACTCTTACTTAATTAAATTTAGCTATAGAAAAGTTAACAGGAAAATGATTTTCAGCACCAACTGAACGTTAACTCACATAATGAAATAACTCTTGTATTCATGTCATTGGTCTTATGTCATGAATACAATTATTTTGATACCGTCGACGTTCCTGTTAAAAGTACGTCGAATACACATCATCAAGAGTTTTGATATCAATTTACTACTAGTGTTTTTTGAACGAATTTGACTACCCATGAGGGTCTCGCACGATCGGCCCTTTTGGGCATTTGATATCGGTATATAATACACATTGTACTATATTATTATGATAACTTTACACGATCAACAACTGCAATCGTTTTGTTGTTTTCAAGAAAATAGAAAAATAAATAAAACAAAATTATCTTCAGGTAACATGAAATCCAATGTATACTAATTCACGATTTTTCTTTTATCTTCTATAGCAAACAATTAATTCTATAATTGATTATAAAAGAAAAACTCATCTTATATACTACATAAGACTCATTTGTGGAGCTGGAAGACCAATTCTAATACGAAGTTGAAAAGCATTAATAACCAAAACTTTCGAAATGCTCTGCCAAATACGGCTAATGCAATCAATGCCTGGGGGTATTAAAAACCTTAGTGTTTTGAGTAGTTCAAGATTGTATAAACAATAAATGTACAGAAAATGAACAAATCAACGATATTTCATGTTAAAACAAAAGAGCTGACTACTGGGCTAGTGATAGACTCTGGGACGACACGTTCACCAGCAGTGGCATCGACCCAGTGGTTCAAAAAATTCCTCAAAGATACCAGGCTTTTAATTTGGTACGCAAAACGAGCGTTTATTCTACAATATGCTTATCAATAGCTCGAATCAAAATAGTTCGAAGGCGGAGGTAAATACGAAGTTGAAGAAGCATTAGAAACCGTAATTTTAGCAAATACGGCTACGCAATCTTTACATTGAGGTAGAAAATTTTTTTCGAATAGTTTATATACATTAAACTTATAGAAAAAGAAACACAAATGTGTTGAATACTGGGCTTGTGATACCCTCGGAAGCGAAACGTCCATGAGCAATTGTATCAACCCAGTTGTTTTAAAAACTCATCAAAGTTACCAAGCTTGTGATTTGTTACGCCACGTACGCGTTTCGTCTACATATGACTTATCGGTGGCGGTCGAATCAAAATAGTTGAAAAGCCAAATCAAACTTGAATATGAAGAGCATCAAATACCGAAAATTCCAAAAAGTTAATGCAATTTATGCCTGGGTATTATCGAAGATACCAGGCTTATGATTAAGTTCGCCAGACGCATTTCATCTACATAAGACTCGTCATAGGCGCTCTAAAAACATTATTCTGTAATTTACTAGTATGAAAGGTTTGCCTTCACATTCGGTCACGTGTTAGGGTTAGAATCAATACATCATGGTACCGTTAACCAAGATCATCCATTAATCCTCTACTGTTTGATGTATAATCACTCGACATGACTAATCAACGTATTTTAGCAGGAGTAACACGTTGGATATCACTTATGGAGCAGGAATTCTCTTTTTCAACTTGTCTTCTTCCAACATTAAACATAGCCCTTTATATCAGTAATAACAAGCAACTTGTATCATGATAGTTTTTGTTACAACCAATGTTTTTGTTTGTGTTGCAGAAAAACGATAGTAGCCTTCTAACTGCTGACTTTGAATATATAAACTAGCAGAAAATATACGGAACAACCTTCACAATGTCTTACAAACCTTAAAATAATGCCTAACACTATTGCAACCCAAGAAACTAACCCATAAAACACATTTTATCATCATACAAAAGTTTGACGCTATCCTTTTATAACAACGTCAATAGCAGACTTTGTATGCTCACCGCACATTACTACTTTTGAGGAAGTGGTTTATGCCAGCATGATCAATTGTACAGATAAATCCACAAGTCAACTGAACAATAAACATGTCGCTCAAGACTATAATGAATGAAGAATCAAAAACTATTGGCCATCCTATTGGCAATTAATTATAGCAAAGAAATACAGTACAAATACCGTTGGGTGACGATAGCGTAATCTATTTCATCGTTAAGCATATGATATATGTACAACGGAACAACGTTAAGTCATCAACACCAAAACATTAAGTTTATTTTATGTCATTAGAGAAGAATTGGTTCTGGAAAATTAGAAACATTTTTCATGTTAGATTAATAGTAAAATTTTTAATGTTCAAATATTAGTAACGGTACTTACTTTATTCACAGTGTTCGCAATTGAACGATTAATTAGCTGTTTATTACGTTACCGCATAATTAAGGATACTATATAAATTATCGCTAGCCGCAGTTACGTTCACTTAAATCCAAGGCAGTAAACAGACGGGAGGTAGAAGGTAGGTTTACTTCACATCTTTATATTAATTCAGTTTGAAAATCTGTTTGTGAATTACAGTATAATGGAAGCGAAAATATATATAAAAATATACCAGTAGCCTAAAAAATAATTATTCTAACACGGAAAATAAACACACTTTATAGTATCATAAAGGACTGAAATGAAGTGGACAACAAGATTTAATTTTGTTGTCCATTTAACCATCAAAATTTCAATCAAATGTTGGAAATACAATATTTTCTTTAGTTGTATGATTGTAATTGCACTTTAGTGTGTGGTGAATTTGTAAATACTTAGTGTTCTTTTCCGAAAGTGGGCATTTTGATGTGTAAGCGCTGGGGGTTTAATTTACCGTTGAAGGGAACTTAAATTAAATTGGCCGTTTCAGCGAAAATAATGTTAATCATGTCGTAATTTTTTTTTAATTGTTATTGACATTTCTTAATTTTTTTGTGACAAGACTTCTTGCTGCCAGAACTGAAGCGTAGGAAATGTTTCAATAAATTGATTAACACAGATATTTTCAAATTAATCATTTCAATTCATTCCACTAAGTGAAGCGATCAAGAATGGGCAGTATCGGATGAAATTAAAGCCAAATCTTATGTTTAATATAAAAAGAGGGAAAAGAGTACAAGAATTTCTATCATAATTTTTCAATGACAATGAAACTTTACCTTAAGCGATAATAAAGTAATCCATAGTTAAACCATCAACATCGATTCAAATAATGATATCGATAGTTTTCAACAATGTGGGTGCGTGCATGCACTTTATTATCTTAAAGGCAAGCATTGAATTACAAACTTTGATTGTATGATTTGTTGGTTTTATTCAAATAAAATACATAAAGTATCATGCGCCCGTAGTCTACTCTACAGTTCGAACTCCTGCGGGCAAAATTGACCTTTGACGGTTTTGGCTATTGTTTAAGGCATTCTTTTCTCTTATAAATCATCTAATATTTTTATAAACATTTGGCTTTCGGGTATTCTCTTGTTGTCCTGTTGCCTTTTAAGGGTACAATACTTTAATCATGTTAATAAAGTCTTCCACAACAGATTTGAAATTATAATTTGTCAGAAATGAGTATGTTTTTAAATAAATCTTATATTCTCCAAAAAGTGTAATTGAGATGATAGACAGAACAAAATATCTATAGATAAATGTCTTATAGTATAGATGGATGGAGACAAAATCTTACATCTATACGGAGCAGTTATTAAACAAGATCAAAGGATCATTGAATATAGGGTCTCATGTATTCAATGTTTTCATTCATTATAATTCTAGCATAAAACCTTTACTCCCATTATATTATGTAGCATTTTACGAACAATGGCGGGTGAAAATACTAATTTTTCCCAAATATTTTCAGTTATATGAATATAAACTGAGAAAAGACAACACTTATCTCATTACTATATATATATCTATTACTTTTACGCGACTTGAAAAGATATTTTAACAAATTCATGGATTTAAGTTTAATATCATACTATATGAGTTTGATCTTTTAAAATTTTGAATAATATGATAAAAAGTGTTCTCTCACTTTAAGTTATGGAACATAATTCAAAGATTGCTCAAAAGCAATATGTAGGTCATACATTAATATTGACCTGCTTGAGTATTCATGTAATATCGTTCTGACAGTCATGCGAGGACACTTAATTTTCTGGAAACTTATCCAATATTGACATTTGGACCTTTTCTAAATATTTTTTTCATCCAATTATTACGTCCGTTTAATGAAAGATAATATACATAAACGGTATCAATTGTAATGCACCAGATGCACATTTCTACAATTAATGTATCTTTGTCGATACTCGACGCCTACATATTTGAAAAAAGTATCTTAAATATAGCCAAATACGGGCAGTATCTAAATAACGAAAGCGTAAATTTATATTCTTAAATGTTTACCACTAAAGACTTTAATACAATGCAAAATAAGTTTAAATGTTTTTAGAAACCGACGCATAAACTTATTATACTTCGTGTTGTTTTTTTTTTCTCTCTAGTGTCACTTCACCTGATGCAACACTTTTTAAAAAATCTTAATTCTATGACAATACATATTTTACTACAGTGTTTGTGAAAAGATGAAGGTTTCGACTTGTGAAATTAGTCAAAATATTAGATTTGTTTCAAATAGTCTCAGATTTTTTAGAATCGAGTGCTTAAATAAAACATTGCAGTTTTAAGTTTTTAAAATATATTTTTTCGGGTTATTCAATCCTAAAATAATTGTTCATTCAATAAAATGAAAAAAAATGGGCAAAATCTTGACTGTTTGACTTTTTAATAAAACAGAACACAACCCTTTCCAAAGACGATATTCATAGAGCGCGTATTTTTTTTTAATATTTTTCTAGGCAAAACTATTTTCGTCGACGCTTTTGCTCTTATTTGATTAAAACTCAAAAAGCATATTTAGATGTATCGTTTACTTCAGATATCTATATATATATATTCTACTCAAATTCCAACTGTAAAACGGAGAACTTAATTTATGTATTAACAATTAACACTTGTGGCATTCAGTATGTGGGAGAAACAATGGATAAATTTAATATTCGGCTGAATAACCATCGTTCATGGTACAAAACCAACAAAAACTGTCCTCTCACAAGACATCTTCGCTCAAAGAAACATACTTTTGATAATGTGACTTTCCAAATCATAGAAGTCAACACCGAGTGGGAAACCACGGCGAGATGGAGCAGAGAAAACTTTTGGATCCACCAGCTCTACACTTTAGAACCTGATGGTCTTAATGAAAAAGACGAGAAAAAATACAGGAAAGATAAAGAATAATTTAGTACACAGCATCGTCCTTTTTATCCTGTAGTATTTGCCAATGAACGTTGCAAACTTCAACCACCACTTTTGTAAATAATCTTGAACTTCATCCAAATTTTGAATTCTTTACAAGACAGCTAAATTTAATGAAATGAGCTGCAAAAGTTTCTTATCTACATCCGATTTCACCTGGATAGATGCACGCTTGATGAAGCTAGTTTGTCTAGCGAAATATTGCGTTTATTTTTTATCGCGTTGTGAATATTTTAAACATTCTAATATTTACTTACTCAATAGTGTGTTAAAACTACATTGTTAGGTAATATATATATATATATACTTTACTATTTTTACTTTTTTCATATTTTGCTCGACTACATTTACCATTAAAAATTGTTTTACAAATAATTTCTTGGAGATTTTTTGAAAAATTTAAAGAAAAGTATATAAGCAATGCTTTTGATAGTAAGAGTATAATATTTTTGATATAGAGTTTTTTTATATTTTGACAATTTAAATCAATTTAACAGACCAAAACCATTTGTACATTGGAATGCAATAGTTTTTATAAGTAAGTCGTACAAAATATGGTGATCTTACATAGTTCTCTTATTTGTTGAAGCAAGAATTTTTTTGAGCCTCTTTCTGTTTTAATTTGAAAATCACAAACGTCTAGGTATTAAATGTATATATATTTTATATTCTAATTTGTAATAAATATAAAATATGTTGACATTGATGCTCACAATTGTTTTTTTGAAATGCAACGCTTCCTTGTCAACAATTTAGACAAGAATCCGATTAGTCATTGGAGGCATAAAACCAAACAAATCTAAAAGATCAGCAACACAGAGGTTTTACTTAACATTTCATCCATTCAGGAAATAAGGAATTGAAGTAAATGAGTAAAGGAAATAATTACCTAGTATTTGGCGAACGCCACCAGTAGCAAGTATCGACTAGGTAATAGTTATCTATATCTAGAATTATTTTTTGAATAATTTTTGCACGCTTGATATTTAAACTTTGGACAATATAATACGTATAAGTAAAAATATTCTATATTCATTAATAACTTTGGCCCCAAAATTTAAGAAAAATATTTTTCGTTTTGACTTATTATCATTTATATTCAGGTATACGTAACACCTTTTTTCAACACTATATTTAGCTCCAACTCATATCTTCCCAATATGTTGACATGCAGGTTACGGGTCAAATTTATTTCTTTCGAAAATCATTACTAGTTATATAACAATTTTTTGTCAACTATTGATATCATTACGAGGTCCCTATGATGTAATAAGACATCAACATTATCACTTTTACAGTCAACTGACAAGATACATGTTTCCGATCTTAATGTTTTGTCCAGTTATTTATTTTCCGCATGAAGAGATAATTCTCGAATCAGACTGTACGGAGCGTGATATGAATAATTAATAGAAAAATGTGTTTGGTTGGCGTATCCGGCAAGATTTTGAGAAATTGCGACTTTTCATTGGCTATGAGTTAGCTCCATAATGACTTTTAGAGACCCTATTTCCAGCTTGTCAACGGAGATTTTTCAATTTCTTCAATAATCTACAAAACACTCACATGTTTCACCTGTATATACTTTGTGTCAAATTTGTTTCCATTCATTCTTTGGCATACAAAAAATTTGAAAACATCTGATGTTAACAGTAGTCGGGATTCCTGACACAATATACTCAATATTGTAAGCGGGCTTTTATTAGAAAATGAAGCTTAGAAATTGAAAATATCCACTAAGACAAAGAAAACAAAATTAAAACAACATTTTACAAATTTCATGCGGCCAAGGTCCGACAAAAATAATGTTTACCATAAAAGAAATAGGTTTAACAACTTATGAGAATTGAACATTGCTGAATTTCAATCAACTCTCAAGAATTATAATATACCTACCAAAAGCCTGTTTATTTCTATATTGAAATAAAATATCAAGCGATATTCATTTCTCACTCGTTGAAAAATCTATAAATAACGAATCATCAATCTTTAACTATCGTTGCACTGATCGCAAACGATGTCTCACCTAAAACTGGTAAACTATACCCAGAATAAACAGACAATAAACATACATTCCAGTGATTGGAACAAAGGAAATACAACGGTATGTGACAATCTAGACTGTTATATTGAATAATAGTCTCAAATTGCATTGTG